TTTCAACCCCAGCTACCGAAAGCAGAAGAGAATAAAGTATCAGAGCAGTGAATTTGAACATATTGAAGGTCAGTTATATACAGTGCTACAGTACAATGCAGTGAAGTGTTTGATGACGTACTTTCGTGCAATATTCACTGCCATTAAATATGCAGTCAACAATGCTTGACTCAGGGAGGAGGACGCCCCTGCCATGCATAGTCCCATGGGATGTTGGCTACCAACAACAAGGCAACTCCTATGACTAATTGGGAATGGGACGCAAGCGTAGGATTGATCACCCTGTCGCTGGCCGCCTTTGGGGAGGGTGTATAGTATGAAAGGCCGAAACACCCTAGGAACCAAAGGGTCACTACTGACGATGCGCTCCCCAAATTTCACCAGGCTCACTGTTCATGAACTCTTGGAAGTGCTTGCACAAAGGATAGTAACATCTCATCCTGTGTTCTTTGGAATCTGCTCAATTTTTTCATATTACAGCTTCCGTCCTAGGATGGACAAACAAGCTAGCCATTATATATTTCAATACATCAATTGTATTCATACGTACATATACAGTACATGTGCCTTTGGACAAACTATAAACAATAACAGATTAATGGCTTACTTCCTTAACTGTCTGGACCATTATGCAGAACAGCTCCAGTCACACTTCTCTAACTCCGAGCACTCTCCACTCGGAATTAGATTCATCGCCTCAATTCACAGACGAATGGTTCCGAATATCTGACTTTCACCAAGTTGTTAAATACGTGTATAGTTTTTATTTCGATTTAAAGCTTTCGTGACGGCAGGGATTCATCTTCTTGGTTCTTTCGGTAAAGTCACGTAGAAGGGAAGTAATACAATAATAAAAATAAAACAAATTAAAATAATTCTCACGACGTTTCGGCCACAACGCAAGCAGCCGTCCTCAGGTGAAGACCAGGTCGGGGAGACAGCGTCATTCAGACGCTGTCTCCCCGACAGACCTTATTATGTTTTATTTTTATTATTTTATTACTCCCTTCTACGTGACTTTACCGAAAGAACCAAGAAGATGAATACGTGTATAGGGTTGTATATATTGACGAATAAACTTCTTATGAGGCAACACGATATTTATTGTCTTTTCTACACGGTCCCTAACACAAAGGGTATATCGGTCCCTTTACCCGATACCTGGGGAGGTATGGCCTCCGGAATATACGGTACCTATCACTGGGTAACCCGTACCCTATCGTCCTCCGGCTGGGACCTAGGGGAGGCTATCTGACCCGACCCTCCTGGTCCGTGGGTCCTGACCACTGGCCTCACTGAGCTCCGGCCCTTAGAAGGATGACGGAGCTTGGGCGCCAGGGTCCCATTCTCCAGCCCAGTCTTCAGTCTTCAGCGTGTAGATAACTGAGCCAGAGCTCTGAGAGCTCTGGCTTATATACTCGTTCGTGGCTTGCTCCGCCCTAGCCACGCCTTCCTTCTGGAACATTCTGGAAGGTGACATCATTCCCCCGGTTCCCCCCACCCGGGACCCTGGGGAATGTGTCCTAGGATCCGTTTGCTGGGATCTGTCGTTGGCCCCTTTCTGACCCATGGACATTCGCCTTGGCGTGGTAACGCTTCTGTCCCCTATTGACAATAAGGGGAACTACCAACCTGCAGAATGGTGAGTGACAATCACCCCTCCCTACACGTGTATGCCAATGTAACAATTTGCACGGGTTACCTTGGCAACGAATTTCAACCTTTATTCGAGTAAGCACTACAAAGCAAGGCTGCTCATGCCACGGGCATGTGAATCAAACATATTTTACCACAATATTTTTGTTCTTTTGGTAAGGTCACGTAGAAAGAAAATACATTAAATAATATAATACGACGTTTCGTTTGCAACACAAGCAATCATCATCAGGTACGAATGAATGAGAAAAAACAAACCTAGTAAACTTAGAAATATAATGCAAGACAACACAGAGAGTCGACTAACATAACAGTCTACACCCTACCTGGTTGATTACGTTCTTCCAAAGAGTGCTACATTTGAGAGAGAGACAAAACACAGACACATAGACAGACATAAGCAGAGAGAGACAACACAGAGACACAAAGAAAGTCACACATAAGCACACAGAGAGACGACGACTCTGTGTCGAGGCCTTAAATATAGAGTGGGGCAGAGAGAGAGGGGGGGGGGGGTAGAGAAATGAGCATGTCAATGAGAAATTTGGAGCTTTCGTGACTGCAGGAATTACTAGAGAGACAATACAGAGACACACACAGAGAGAGAGAAAATACATTTAATAAAAAAACTTAGTAAAATTTGGAAATGCATTTTACCACTGCCTGGAAATAAATATAGGTTCATAATCATTGTCAGAAGTAGCCTCTGCTCTATCTGCTGCTGAATGAATGATTCCCCAATTCACAACTTAAATGTGACCAGTGTATTCTTAGGTTTTTTCGGTTAAGTCACGTAAGTAAAAACATCAAAATAAAAATAAAATAAAAATAAAAAATCACGACGTTTCGGAGGCAACACAAGTCTCCGTCATCAGGTGGGACCGTCACAGCCGAATTAGCTGCATCAAGTGAAGCAATGATTCAAGATGTAATTCTAGATTTGAAGCTTTCGTGACTGCAAAGATTCATATTCTTAGGTTTTTATAGCACTGCGTGATGTCTTTGATCACCGCTCACCCTCCGTCCCGACACGTCTCCATTCATTGTGTTGAGCGCTGCGTGATGTCTTTGATCACCGCTCACCCTCCGTCCCGACACGTTTCTATTCATTGTGTTGAGCACTGCGTGCAGTCTTTGATCGCCGCTCCTCCTCCCTCCCGATACGTTTCCATTCATTGTGTTGAGCACTGCGTGCAGTCTTTGATCACCGCTCCTCCTCCCTCCCGATACGTTTCCATTCATTGGCTACCACAGTCTGATAAGCTCTCCAACCCCCCCTCTCCACCTCCCTTCAACTTGCTTATAAGGGATTACATCTTGAATCATTGCTTCACTTGATGAAGCTAATTCGGCTGTGACGGTCCCACCTGATGACGGAGACTTGTGTTGCCTCCGAAACGTCGTGATTTTTATTTTTATTTTATTTTTATTTTGATGTTTTTACTTACGTGACTTAACCGAAAAAAAACCCTAAAAAGATGTAATCTCTTATAAGCAAGTTGAAGGGAGGTGGAGAGGGGGGGGGGGGTTGGAGAGCTTATCAGACTGTGGTAGCCAATGAATGGAAACGTATCGGGAGGGAGGAGGAGCAGTGATCAAAGACTGCACGCAGTGCTCAACACAATGAATGGAAACGTATCGGGAGGGAGGAGGAGCGGCGATCAAAGACTGCACGCAGTGCTCAACACAATGAATGGAAACGTGTCGGGACGGAGGGTGAGCGGCGATCAAAGACTGCACGTGGGGATGTTAACACTCGGTGAAGTAAATTAAAATAGTGCCTGTCAGATAAGATGGTCCAAAAAAGTGTAATTAAGTCTTTTTTGCGTGGTTAATAACATCTTTCCAATGATTACTGAGTTTGTACCCATCATCACGGTTGAAATTATGTCTGTGTTTGTATATTTGTATGGCTTCGTGTACAAACCTTTGATGGTAGCCAGGAGGTTTGCAGAGAACCTTGGTCTCGGAAAAGACAATTTCATGAGAGCCCGCCGAGTTGTAGCAATGATCGGCAACGGCCGAAGAAACAGTTCTGCCATGTTTCAGATCTGACTTGTGCTCGCGGACACGATCAGCCACATGACGTTTTGTTTCTCCAATGTAGCAATCACCACAAATGCAACTCAATTTGTAGACTCCAGGATACTGTAAGTCAGGAACGACATCCTTCACAGATGGAATCAGATCACGGATTTTATGCACTGTACTGAATCGGACTTGGATCTTATGTTTGTTTAGAATTTTGGAGATCTTTTTGGTCACGCCTGCTATGTATGGTAACGTGATAGTTTTGGTCGGAGTTTCATGTGGCTGTTTCTTCTGTGTGGTGGGAGAAACCGCTTGGCGGATAGTACGGTCAGAGTATCCGTTCATCCTGAGGGCCCGATGTACATGTCTCAATTCACCGGTCAGGTGGTGTTGGTCAGAAATGCCATGGGCTCTGTGGTATAGCGTTTTGATGAGATAATTCTTATGAGATGGGTGGTGGTGGGAATCCGGTTTCAAGTAGGAATCTGTGTGGGTGGCTTTCATGTAGACAGAATGTCCCAAGGATCCGTCAGGTCTCCTCTCAAACAGAATATCCAAAAATGGTAGTTTGCCGTCTTTCTCTACTTCCATAGTGAATCTGATGGATGGGTGTCTAGAATTGATGTGGTCTAAGAAGTGGTTCAGTGCTGGGAGGCCATGTGGCCAGATGACGAAAGTGTCATCAACATACCTCTTCCACAGGGAAGGACGCAGGGTGGATGTCTGGATGGCGTCTGATTCAAACTTTTCCATGAACATGTTGGCTATCACTGGTGACAAGGTGGAGCCCATAGGGGTACCCTCATTCTGTTTGTAGAAGGTGCCATTCCAGGTAAAATAGGTGTTGGTGAGGCAATGCCTCACCACCGCAGGTACATCAGAATTCAATCCATGTTGGACTAAGTCATGAAATTGTCTTTTCCGAGACCAAGGTTCTCTGCAAACCTCCTGGCTACCATCAAAGGTTTGTACACGAAGCCATACAAACGTACAAACAGACATAATTTCATCCGTGATGATGGGTACAAACTCGAGAATCATTGGAAAGATGTTATTAACCACGCAAAAAGGACTTAATTACACTTTTTTGGACCATCTTATCTGACAGGCACTATTTTAATTTACTTCACCGAGTGTTAACATCCCCACGTGCAGTCTTTGATCACCGCTCACCCTCCGTCCCGACACGTCTCCATTCATTGTGTTGAGCGCTGCGTGATGTCTTTGATCACCGCTCACCCTCCGTCCCGACACGTTTCCATTCATTGTGTTGAGCACTGCGTGCAGTCTTTGATCACCGCTCACCCTCCGTCCCGACACGTCTCCATTCATTGTGTTGAGCGCTGCGAGATGTCTTTGATCACCGCTCACCCTCCGTCCCGACACGTTTCCATTCATTGTGTTGAGCACTGCGTGCAGTCTTTGATCGCCGCTCCTCCTCCCTCCCGATACGTTTCCATTCATTGTGTTGAGCACTGCGTGCAGTCTTTGATCGCCGCTCCTCCTCCCTCCCGATACGTTTCCATTCATTGTGTTGAGCACTGCGTGCAGTCTTTGATTACCGCTGTGATTTAGAACTTCTCCATTTGTAGACTATCAGTGTGACAGTGGATTGATGGAGCCCCAATCATTAGAAATGTTTTTGTAACCCTTTCCGGGCTGATGAGCATCAATAACTTTTTTTCTGAAATCCTCAGAGATTTATTTTACTTTGTGGCATGACTTCCTTAGCACACACCGGTATGGTGAAGACCAGACTCACAATGTTTCTGAACATTATATATGGCGGGGCTTCCCAAACTCACCCCTGAAGATCTACCTAATTATTTAAACACCTGATTATAATTATTACCTTACTGGTGCGAATGAAACCAGAGGTTCATTTACTTTTTCACATACCCTGAACCTGAATTACTCTTCGTTTGTTCATTTCATACATCATTTTGTTTCATAATAAATGGAATTTGTTAATATAAACCCTTTTGGATATTTAAGAAAAGAACGATTTTGATTCAAAAAGGCTATCAAGGTAAAACTATGGAATTTCCATAATAATCATTGGGGTTCACACTTTTTTTTCTCGATGCTGTAGCTCTTGTTCAGAATCAACATGGCCACAAATGAATGTTGAAAATGTTTCGCACCATACATAGCCAACCATTCTCATGGAGTTCGATTCCGACCCTGACGATGGCTGTATATTTGGGGTTTGCGTGTTCCTCCCTGTGATGGAATGGATTTTTATCAGGGCCCTCTGGTTTTCCCCTCCACATTTAGAATCAGTATCATGTGTTTAGATTATTTGGCTGCCAATATAAATTCCCACATAATAAGCCACGTCTTTGAGCTTTCATTTGTGGCCAGGGACCGCCTAAATGTACATGGTCCATCACCAATGGAGCCAGGGCCCATCATCTGAGAGACAGCTAGAGTTTCAGAGAAGAAAGCTCTTGGCATATGTATTACATTTCACTCTCACTGTTATAAGTGGAGAACCACAGCGATTTCAAGATGTGAATGGCTTATGTGTAATATTGTTTCAAAATCAAACGTAATATCTAATGGGATGCGTTGTTTTTTTACTTGACGTTTACTGAAGAAATTTGTGGGCTTTTTTGCGCATAAGTTGAACAAATATTTCCATTTCTGCACTGCACCTGCACATAAAAAACACCTATATTTAGTCTATTATGCCTATGGTTTTCTAGAGTCTGGACTTATGTTAACCAGTAGAACATGACTTTAGGATACTTTGAACTGGGGTAGACTTGCGTGCTTGTAAAACGTTGCTGTTCTACATAATGACATTGGTTAGAATAATCCCTTCAAACGTAGGGGACCCTCTTAGGATAAACAACCATTATATTGTATCAAAACTCATTTGATGAGGCCCGGAAAGCAGGAAGCTATCTAGAGTGTAAGACATGCTACTGGTTAGCGGAAGTCTGGAAGGTCAATAGACCGATAGTGATCGGAACTCTTTTATTTTAATGTGGAGGTACAGAATGAAGGGATGTGGCTCGCGCATGCATGCTATTATGAATCCGCCCAACTAAGTCTGGTTCCCAGCTACGGAATGAGGAGGCCTTCATCCAGTCGTAGACTGACAAAGGGCTTGCAAATGCACACGTACAAAAGGTGGATTTATTTAATGACCCGTTGCTTTTTTTGCGTGCATTATTGTCTTTCCTCTGCACGTCGGCTACGTACGGCGCGAAAGAAGTTCAACGTACATCTGTACATACGTCAGCGCATATTTTGGCATTTTCAATGCACAATTGGCTCAATTATCCGCGCACGCGTCATTCTCAAATATCTTAATCAAGTGTTTGATCCTGGGACTCTTCCCACGCGGCTCGTCCACGCCATCATTCATCACCGTCACGTGCGCGATGGCCTCGTGACATGCGGACATCTTTGCCTCGACTCGAACTCTGAGTACTTCGCTCTTCACTACCACGCAGTCGGGGCCTGCACGCGACCACGCGAATCTGCCGTCCGCAGTCGCCTCTTGCCTCGTCATCTCTCTCAGCTTCCGCAAGTCCATGTCGCAAACGCCGGCACAGTTCTCCATGGAGAGGGCGAGCTTCCTGCGTTGATACAAAAGCGGGTTTTTGAAGAGCAGCACCAAATATTCGTCGGTCCCCTTGAAGCGCAGGCCCAGGATGCCGTGGCAGCCTTTAACGTCGGAACTCATCTTGCGGAATCCGTACACCGCGCATCTTCTCGGCGTTATGGGTTCGTTAGGTGGGAACTGGGAAATTCCTGACTTCAGGAAGAATCTGAACAAATGCAGGAGAGGTGAGGTTGTCAGGAAAAGCAAGGAATCTTTTTGTTTACTTTTTAAGCCATCACTCTGCCAAGTTTTGCGATATTTTGATTGCCAAATAACCAGAATTGCACCCAATCTCGTGCACCTAATCTCGTCCAAATCACAGAATATCGGCTCGTACTTGAATGGGTGACACCAGAGGGCTTGCTAGAAGTTATGAGTGTGAGGCTGCGAGGTGTGGCTAGAAGATGGCAGGTTTTTACTCCTCGGTAGCTTTCTTTCCTCTGGGTGATCTGGTTTCCTCCCCACAGGAAGGCAATTCTCATTAAACTCGTGAACACAATTAGCATTTTCACTATGACGGAATGAAAGTGGGAATATGTGAATGTAATAATGGGCCGTCCATAAATGACGTCGCGCGATTTTGGACGATTTTTGACCCCCCCCCCCCTTCGTCACACGGCGTCACAAAAAGTCAGACCCCCCCTCAAATTTGACGTCACAAAGCTCTGCCCACCCCCCCCCCCCCCCAAAAAAAAACCATTCTTCAAATCGCTTTAAACTATTGTCATTGTAGTGCGTATTTAATGTGGCGCTGAACTCTGATGTTATAGGAGAAAACATTTATGAAAAAGTATATTTAATTAAGTAGAACGTGTTGTCTATATTTATTTAAAGTTGCGCATTTTGTGGTGACGGCACATTTCTCAACCCCCCCCCCCCCTCGTCACACATCGTCACAAATGTCTGACCGTCCCCCTAGGTGCGTGACGTCATTTATGGACGGCCCCTAACTTTGTACACCACCACATTATTTACGAAGAGGAAGAACAACCGTGAATCAAGAACAGATACCTTACAGATGAATTTATTAAGACAGGAAAAGTTAAATGAGTTATTATACAATGTAAAAAAGTGGGTTATTTTATTTAAATAATAAATATATGGATCAGTCTCTAGCCATTGCATATAGAACCCACGCCCTTGAAAACCTCGAGAACGCGGATTTTCTACCCTTTATGATTCTGGATGGTCCTCCCCTATAGTATTCTGATCTCTTGATTCGTCTTTACAACAATTGTATCTTATATAGAGTAAGTTGACCCATGATTGTAGCCTGTTTGTCCCTCAGCTGAGCCGAGTGGTAATTTCATAAATACAACACCTCACCATTCCTTCCAATTTGTTTTATTCCAATAAACTATTTTGGCAAGTGCTCTTCGTGAACACCTATTGAGGTTGGCACTGGCGCACGATAACGTGGAGTGATCTGCACCACGACGGACGATTTTGTACCCCGAGTACCGGATGTTTACACATAGCACCAGGTACTCATTTAAGGCTGAGTGGATCAAGGGCTCCAAGACTGCTTCAGATATCACTGGCCGCTGATGCTATCCATGGCTGTAAATTGTACGCAGGTCGCCTGCGTTCGTAACGCAGTGCATACAACGTGGCCATGATCGGGAATCGAACTCGGGTCATCGCCGAGTTCGTAGCGCAGCGCCCTAAGTGGTAGCTACACTACCGCTCTCCACACACGCACGCTACGCTATCAATTACTATTGATTACTCGAAGCAATGGCTATCCATGCATGACAAAGATCCCCCGTGTAGCCTTAACAGATGTTTTTGAGCAAGTGCTGTTTGCTCGTAGCACCGATGAAGGCCGGCACGGGACACGAGGGGGTGGGTGGCCAGAACTATGCCCGGCCACCTTTGTTTCCCCAGTGTCACCAGTTACTCATTTGAGGCGGGGTCGCCCTAGGGGAGGCCCAGAACCGGTTCAGGACCGGTTCAGATCATCCGTCACTGTTGTTGGTGGCCATGAGCGGGAATCATTGCCGGGATCGTAGCGCATCGCGCCAAACACCTACCGCGCGTGTAGCGTGTGACCTTTCACTCACCGTGGCTCGGAGAGAGTGTATCTGGAGTTGTTGGTGACATTAACAACGACCTTGCATTCCGTCGTGAGCGCGCTGAGCATCGTCTCTGGAGATGACCGCGCCATCCCTGTGAAGAGTTAAACCTCGCTGGACGATCCTGTGTGTGTGGGGCTCACGACAGCACTTGAAGTCATCTTCTTGGTTCTTTCGGTAAAGTCACGTAGAAGGGAAGTAATAAAATAATAAAAATAAAACAATAAAATAATTCTCACGACGTTTCGGCCACAACGCAAGCAACGCAAGCAGCCGTCGAGGCGACAGAGTCTGTCGCCTCGACGGACCTGGTTTTCACCTGAGGACGGCTGCTTGCGTTGTGGCCGAAACGTCGTGAGAATAATTTTATTATGTTTTATTTTTATTATTTTATTACTTCCCTTCTACGTGACTTTACCGAAAGAACCAAGAAGATGAATCCCTGCAGCCACGAAAGCTTTACATCAGCACTTGAAGTGTTTTAGTTTGAAGTCTGTTTGCTTGTTTTATTTGTTTACTTCATTTTTGATTGCATGCCTTTCTAGACTTGCACTGTTCAACATATATACTCTTGAGAACTCATGGTAATTTGACAATACAAAATTATAACAGGCAATAATGCAGGTGTTCCGATGTTCAAATACAATAGACACCTTTTATTACGAGGTGTGAAGTATGCATTAACCACACATACTTGTGGTAAAACAATGCAAACAAACATACTTGATAATAATGCTATTCGTTCTCCTTGAAACGTATTGACTTGCATCAGAGATACAGACTTTGCAATGGCTTTGTCTCACCAGTGATGTCGAGCAATGGAACGCCAAAAGACGAACAGCATAAACACTATAATACAGGGGTTAGATTGCGTAAATATATGTTTAATTCAACCACCCACCACCCATCACGGCCAATTAGTAAGGTTTGTCACGTTAACAAAACATTCCTCAGCAGCAGACCATGCTTTCCCACCTGATGATGGACGCTTGTGTTGCGCCCGAAACGTCGTGATTTATTTTATTTTCTACCTACGTGACTTTACCGAAAGAACCGAAGAGTATGGATTCCTGCAGTCACGAAAGCTTAAAATCAAGAAGTGTGTGTTGGAGAGCAAAGCCACAACATTTACAAAGTGAGTACGACCTTAGTGGTCACAAGCAGAGGTCCAAATCGGAATAAAATATCAAAGAGCCCTTTGTGCTTGTATTGCGCTGGAGGTGTTCGTGTGCGTATGATGTTGTGTTGGTGTTGTGTTGTGTTGGAGTCGTGTGTGTGGAGGTGTATGTGTGAGTAGGATGCTGTGTTGGTGTTGTGTGTGTGTGTGTTGGAGTCGTGTGTGTGGAGGTGTATGTGTGAGTATGATGCTGTGTTGGTGTTGTGTGTGTATTGTGTTGGAGTCGTGTGTGTGGAGGTGTATGTGTGAGTATGATGTTGTGTTGGTGTTGTGTGTGTATTGTGTTGGAGTCGTGTGTGTGGAGGTGTATGTGTGAGTATGATGTTGTGTTGGTGTTGTGTGTGTGTGTGTGGGAGTCGTGTGTGTGGAGGTGTATGTGTGAGTATGATGTTGTGTTGGTGTTATGTGTTGTGTTCGAGCCACGTGTCTGTTTGAAGTGTACGCGCCCCTTGTTATGTGTGTGTGTGTTGGGCAGGTGGAGTGGTATCGTAGTGGTTGCGCTATACGAACCCGTCTTCCCGAGTTCAATTCCAGCACACGGCCAACACCAGTGACGATTATCTAGGTCGTCTCAGCCTCAAGATTTGTAGACGGTGCGGTGTGTGAACATCGCCACTAGGGAGAAAGAGGCAGTCGTGTGTGGTGCTGGAAACCCGCCGACTCGTGTGCCGTGCCAGCTTTCATAGGTGCTCGCTAACAAAACGTGCCCAAAAACATATATGTAGGCTTTAAGGGAGGTAATTGTCGTGTCTTGGGCAAGATGTGTGTGCTGTGCTTGAATAGGAGGTGTGCGTGTGTGTATTCAGGTTCAATATTTTTCACGCACGTCACGTTCACACAAAGTGCAAAGGCCTTTAACTCAACAGACTACCGGGCAGGTGCTCTGAGCCGGGCAACTATTGTGTGGGGGGGGGGGGGGGGGTGTCGTGCCGGTTTAGGTGCAAGGGCTAAAAAATCCGGCGCCTCGAGTTTTATTCTTGTTCACGACTAATAAACGTCACCACCGGAGAACGAGTGGAGATGTGAACGGGGTTTGAGGCAGTGAAGAAGGAGATGAGATATGGACCGAGAAAGAGGGGCGGAGAATATGGAATAAAATAAAGAGGAAGTAAAATAACAAACACCAAAGGAAGAACAAAGGTAAATGTCTTAAAGCAAACTAAGCAATCCGTGAGCAAACACATCGAGCTGAGCCAGAAGAGAGAGCGAGAGAGAACAAAGCAAGCGAGACAACTACTTTGAGCAGAGTTTGGTGAGTGCCACAATCCAGCACGCGTAGTGAGCAGCCCGGCAGGAATCCTGGAGCAGAACGTCACTGTTAGCTTATTGGACGTTCGATTATAGCCCACGTTTTGAACATATCGTAACGTATATGGTCATTTCTGAAGCAATGCGATCGTCTTCATGGTTCTTTCGGTAAAGTCACGTAGAAGGGAAGTAATAAAATAATAAAAATAAAACATAATAAAATAATTCTCAGCTTATATACATGCTCCAAGCTCGTGTGCTGTTTCATTCAGACGCTGTCTCCCCGACAGACCTGGTTTTCACCTGAGGACGGCTGCTTGCGTTGTGGCCGAAACGTCGTGAGAATTATTTTATTATGTTTTATTTTTCTTATTTTATTACTTCCCTTCTACGTGACTTTACCGAAAGAACCAAGAAGATGAATCCCTGCAGTCACAAAAGCTTTAAATCGAAATTCAATGCGATCGTGTCTGGCATCATGCAGGACTTGCCAAGCTGCCCTCATTTGGATTCCACTTTAATCTGCCAGCTTGGATTTCTAGCTGTTTGACAGGATGCCAGTTTGACAACTTCACCATCAGCTGAGCGGTGGGGCTATGCACGTGGTTTGTAATCCAGTGCTGTGGAAGCAGCGAGGGTTGGTGCGTCACCGCACAATTTTTGTGAAAGTCCCTTCCCGTGGGCACCGAGAAAGAGCCGTAGCCTGATCGACAGGCGAAAGCGGTACAGCGAGTGGACTAATCGCCACCTGATTCCATCTGTACGGGGATCGTGTGTTCCCCCTTCTCACAAGGCGTGGGCGTTCTCCAGGTGCTTCGGTTTCATTCCACTCGTATAATAAACACAGAGCTCGTCATCATGTTTTGGGCTGACCGCATTTGAGATAAACACCTAATGTGGCAGGACCCTCTTGAATGAGTCACGATTCAGTGTGGCTCCCCTGGATGAATACGTATAATAATATCAGGCTTTACATTACGAAAGGCCCGGCTTCGTCTCAAATATGATTTATCTCTTTATTTATGACTTGTAATCCTCCCAAAAACGAAGTAATCTGCATATCACAATACTCAACACAAGCTGAATATAATTGACATGGATCTGCTCAACGTGCTGATTGATATTCCACCATCAATTCCCAATTGCTTCAATACAAATCTTGATTGGGGTTAGAAAATTCTGCTCACGTTCTGCTGGAAGATTCAATCAGTCGTAATATTATCACGTAGGTTCTGCAAAAAACACACCTATCCCTTTACATTTAACGATGCATTTCTTGTATAGTAAAACAAATATTCGTATTGGCACATCATTATCATCGATGCTGTCATGGAATGACGATATAATATGCCGAACGGGGCATCAATGAGGGCTGGGTTAATGTTTTGTGCCAAAACGTTATCTAGCTCCAACCAATTATTGCTGATATCTTATTGTGCTGTGTCTTTCTCAAAGACGTTGGTTATCATGGCCTTCCATTTACTTCTAAACAAATCGCTAATTCGGCTGAAGCTGGATTACTCTTGTCATATCTGGGCTGGATCACCCAGTACCAGCGTCAAAGTAATTGACATAAATCAACGTAAACCAGCTAGATTGACTAACGATGCGGTACTCAAACTTTTCACTTTAGTCACTTACTCATTGGCAGTCAGTCGCCTCATTATCACCCGGATCACTGCGACACAGTTAACTGTTCTCTTGAGTTTTACGAAATGATCTGTTCGCCCATGTTGAGGACAGTCTACCCGATAGATTGATTATTGGTCTAATCCGTTAATTTGTTTTTCAACACACCACCGCTGATAACAAGAAACACACACTTTTTTCTCCGCTCCTTTCATCGCACTGTTCGACTTTTAAATGTACTTCTATAGTTCCTCTCCCCAAGTTGAGCAATGCTGGAAACATATTACCCCATTGGAGAATATACCTTCAATAGTGCTGTTTGTTCTTGGCTATTTGGCTTTTTCGACATTTGGGGTTGTGCTCGGCAACAGCGATTGAAAACATACACACTCAGAACGTGCTCGAACTCATTCAAACACTTGCACAAAGAAAGACAAAGATCCCCCCTATAGCCTTAACAGATTGCTGCCATGGCGTCGGGCTACTCCTGACCCTCGTGTGCCGTGCCGCCACCTGGGACTTCCACTCGTCAGCATACACCCGAACAATGGTCCGACCTACTCACAAGACGGGCTGCTTACCCTCCGCCCCACTGCTTTTCTTAAATATCTTCACTCCTTAGCCGTCTCTTAACTTCACAGTTTCGGTGTTTTCCGAGTCAAACGCCGCAGACCTCGCCATCGCCGTTGTCGAGGTGGCATGAGTCATAGTCTTCATGTCGCTCCTCATGCTCGATCATCCATCACCTCCATGCATCCACTAACTCCCGTCCTTAACAGCTCGTACTATCATCCACCGCCTACCGCCGCTTCATCATCACCCTCGTCAATACCTATCATCTCCTCCCTTAGCCACCCTCGGTCCACCTCGAAATGTATTCACACTACTCGCTCCATTCCATCCAATCTCATCCACATCCTACCCCTTGCTAATATTCTCCCTATCCCATTCTCCACCCACCGCTTCCTCCTCCCCGTACTGTCCGTTTGAACTCGGACTCTAGAATGCACATACCATTTGGCAATTAATCTGCTCTCGACTCTTCATGCTTTTCTATCCTTCCATCTTGATGCCTTTGCTCGCACTGAAACTTGAGTCTCACCACTTGATCCTCTATCACTACGGTCCCCCTCCCACCTTCCGATCACCTCCTTCTCTTCCTCTATTGCTCGACCTTTCCCCCCTATCCACACTCCCACAATAGCTCACCCCCCATTCTGCACTGCAACCTCCGATCCCTTCAAACTAGCTCCACAACCACTCATATCTCCTCTCTCCTTCTCATATTTCCGACTTCTCTTTGCACCCTGACTTAGCTTCCTCCACACTCTCTAATTCTCTTCTCTCAACCTCCTAGCTCCCCTCCATCTCAGCTCCGCTCATCTAAGCCTCCACAACCTTGGTTCATTACATCCCTTCAATCAGAGCGGTGACACCTACGTAAAGCTGAAAGGCTTTCAAAATCTACTCTACTCTAGAACCTTTCCTCCTACCACTCCCTCCTTTCTCAATTCCAACGTCCCCTAGAGCTTCCCAAACATAACTGTTTGCTGGCTCTCATCTTTTCCCACCAAGATTGACTCTATTCGATCTAGACTTATATCCTCCTCCTCCCATAGCTCACCTCAGCAGCCTCTCCCCCTACGTAAAAATATCCATAATGACTCTGCTTTCACCATTTTCCCTGCAACTTCTATGACTGAACTCTCTTCTAGTCATTTCTAAGGGTCCATCCCACTTCCTCTCTCCTCGAACCCATCCCTGCTTCCCTTTTATCCCGACTCCTACCTTTAATTCTCCCCTATTGGATAGTGTCCCTATCCAATTCCCCCCTCTCCTCTGGTGTATTTCCTGCAATCTACAAGTCAGCCATTCTTGTAACCACTCCTAAAACATCTTCTTTTGATACCTCTTCTCCTGCCACTACCGCCCCATTTTCCTTCTCCCCTATTTCCCCGAACTCTTGAGACGCCTGGTACACTCTCGTCTTACCGACTACGTATCTTCCAACTCTCTTTACCCCCAATTCCAGTATGTTTTTCGTCCCTCTCATTCCAACGAAACGACTCTTATTTTCGTTTCAAAATCATCTGGCTAACTCTGCTATTCTATTCTTATACTCCTCGATCTGTCCTCAGCTTTCGACACGGTTGACCATCCGATGTTATTTTCTACTCTTTCTTATCGGTATCTTTGGCACACCACTTTCCTGGCTAAAGTCCTGTCTCTCGCTGGGCACCTCTGCAGTCTATTTAACCATACCACATCCCACCCAGCCCCAGTTACTGTTGGTGTTCCCCAAGGGTCAGTTATTGGTCCCCTACTTTCATCTCTCTCTATATCTCACCACTTACATCTCCCCTTCCTTCGTTGAACTTTCCCCATAATTTATTTGCAGATGACATCCACATTTTCTTCTCCTTTCAATCTTTTTCCCCGGACCTCGCATCTCTCGTCTCATCCTGCCTGTTTTATTCTCCAATCTTGGATGTCACATATCTTTCTGTCCATCAACTCTTCCAATACTGAAATTTATGTATCCCTGCCTCCCGTTCCCCTCCTCCCTGTCCCACCATTTATTTCCCTCATGTATCTATTTACCAGATTTCCTCAGTCCGAAACCTTGATGTTATATTTGACTCGTCGCTCTCCCTTATAGATCATATTTCCACCACTACCCGTGCTTGCCGATTTAATTTGTTTAACATTCGCAAAATCCGACTTTATTTCCACCTCTGCTGCAAAACTCTTCATCCATCCCCTTATCCATACCCGTCTGGACTACTGCAAATCTCTTATGCTCAGTCTGCCCATTTACTCTTTTGTCCCCCTTCAACAAATCCAAAACAACTCTG